GCTGTTTGTGCAGCCGAGTTTCGTTTAGTTTTTAATAGAACATTTAAAACACAAAAATTTTAGGTAAAATATTTCTTAAAATATTGAAAATTTAAATGGAAATCGTTTAAAAAGTATGCCAGCAGCCTCTGTAGGTTAGTAAGAAGTTATCTCTGTTACATGTTAAGTTGGATATGCTTTCATTGTTAGAAAATGACCGGCTACTGATGGGCTATAGCTTAGCAACAAGCTAGAGTGCAGACCTCCCAATTCATTTCTACCCACCCTCTTAAGTACAAATTATTATTAAGAAATGATCTTCATTATATATACATAATGTTGCATATACAATTATACGGAGTGATTAAGTGGATAAAGGCCTCTGAACACTACAAATGCCTTCCAGGTTTGGTTACTGGAATTCAATGAGTTATTGCACTGGTTTTCTCTATGTCTAATTTAAAGATGAGCTAGTTTCTGTTCGAAACTTCTCTACAAAAGCATCCCTTTTATGGCAAGTGGTTCTTAAGTTCTCTGTTGTAATGTAAATATAGAGAAACTGTTAAATGTTTTTGCAACAGAGACGTAAAAAACATTGTCTGCGCTCTAGTCAGGAATCGAACCGCAGATCTTCCAATTATTAGCTAGATGTGCTAATCACTACACCACAAAGGCACGCTTAGGAATGTCTCGTTTATTTCTTACAACCTAATCTAACGTAATCGGAAATTTGAACTACGAAAATGAGATCTTGCGTGATACAGTCTAATCGAATACCCTGTCATTCTTTCATTGCTTGATAAACATATTGTTTATCGTAAATTTTCTCAAAACTTTATTTTACCTTGATTTATATGATTTATACCACAAATGCATTAACAGAATCCTGCAAATGCATTGTGTCATGGGCTTGGATGGTTCTTCATTGTTTCCTTAATTAGCAAGAACAGAATAGAAAAGACTCCCGCGCAAGGAAATTATTCTACTCTGTTTCCAGACAGAAAGCCGAGACATCCCATTTATTACTTTGACTAGATAATCATTAACGAAAATGAAGGGAATTAACAAAAGGGCATCATGATTTACATATTTTTAGCTTAAACGAGGAGCCGCTTTCGAAATTAATGTCACTATGACGATCAGAGCTGGAGGCTATTTGAAATTTCCCATTGTTAGGGTACTTGACAAGAAGTGTGCCAGAGATATCATTCACGTTTACTGCTTCTTTACATGTTTTAAATATTTTAAGTGATTCATGAGCTGATAAAACGCTCAACGACTTGACTATATTTCAATAAACCTGGAGGTATACGGAATCGAGTCTTAGTGGCAAGTGATTTTATGACTTTGCAGTTTTATTATTATTTTATTTATTGTCGTGCGTGTATAATGACGGCAAGGAACGTTTATTGGCTTATTAAACATCTGTTTACTTTTAAAATAAAAATTTAAGATCTGATCAGTTGGACTACTTAAATGTAATCAAGTTATCAGTCATTTCATTTTTATATAATAATTATTATATTAGCTTATTTAATAGCACAGAAATTATTTATGTAATTTGAAAAATTTGTGAAAATAAAAATTAATGCTAAACAAAATATTACTCACAGAAAATTGTATGTTAAACTATACTAAAGCATATATATACTTCTAAGGCTGATTTCTGTACATTGTAATCACATTTTATTAGACGTTTTTCCATTACAACGATATACGCGCCATTATGTAACATAATGATAAACATTTTTGAACCGTCACAGAAATGTACTACAATATACAAAAATGCATTTTAATAATATTATGATATATATTTCGTACATGTAACTATTTTCATCGGTCTACTGTTTAGCTTTCATATTGTATACTTTTGATCGTATTTCTTTTTAGGAGCGGGTCAGAACTTTTTTGAAATTTTCATTGCTATTTATGAAACTTTTAGAGTAGTAAACCCATTTTTGTTCTTATAATATAATATCTAAAGTTGAGATTATAACTCCTAGCAATTAACCTTATAGCGATGAATCCAACATAATTTTAGTTCGTTTCAGACAGTTTCCAGTCATAATTTTGAAAAAAAAAAAAAAAAAAAAAAAAAGAATTATTCACTTTATTCTTGTAGAAGTTCAAATTCAATTGGATTTCCTGCAAAAAAGAACGACAAACAAAATCCAAAGCATGCTAAAAGCAAATTTCGTACAAATTGGTATAGCTTCTAATTATATTGCATGCTATACTAAATGTATTCAGCAGAAGCTTGATTAATTTTATCAGCTGTTTCTAAATCCTTGAAAACGCTGATTATAGAGTTTATTATGGCATCATAAATTTATTCGGTCGTTGGCTTATATCGATGCAGGAACGTGAAAAATGCACAATGCCCTCTCTGGGATTCGATCTCCGTAATACGTGTCCAGCGTGCTTCTAGCTGCACCATGAATGCATGTAGAAAGGAGGAAGAAAATACCTTATATACTCCCCTTTTAAAGGGCTACTGGGGATTAAGGGACCCAGTCGTCCAATTGTAGTGGTGATGAATTATCGTCTACCACTTTTTAGCTCGGGAACCGCTTGCAGAGTCATTAGGTTATATCGATGCTGGAACCTGAAAAATGTGCAACATCCCTGCCAAGATTTGAACTCCGGACCTCCAGAATACGTGTTGAGCTTGCTTCTAATTACACCACGAAGGCATGTGGAAAGGAGGGACAGAAAACCTTATAACCTCTTCTGTTTATTGCGTTCATAAAATAGTTTTAATGTACGGATATACTGAAGTCTTAGCACCTTGAAAACATGCGTAATTAAACAAACCTAGTTCAATATAAAAGCTTCAAAACTGACAGAAAACTGATTTTGATAAGAACATAAATTTTACTGTCTTCTATATCTTAACGATGTTCTCCAAAAAACTGCCTGTGTCGATATGCATCGCCCATACTCGATGCCAGCTTCGATTACCGTTCCGAAATTCAGTGACGTTTGTCGAGCTCATTTCTCGTTGACATTATTTCAGATCTTTCATATATCATGTGTGTATCATAAATTACTTTTGTAGCTCTAATTAAAGCCCTTGCAGGAAGCTTTATCACTATTTGCTTTCTCCAAAATGGAGTTCAAGTTCTCAAATTGCTCCCGAATTTATCCTTCCAAATCCCATCGAGTATCTGTCGGTGACGTTTCAAAATTTGTTGAGGGTAAGTATATTAGTTTCAAATCATGTTAAAAGGGACGAGGGATCTGACTGGCGTAAAGCACACGTTACGGACCTAAGGGAAAGAACGTGTATGTGAGGGACCTTTGCAATTAAAAGTTACTTGTATTTATATTGCACACACGGAGAAAACCATGAAAAAATCCAACACAGCCAGCCCATTGTATGAGATTAGAAGTCTGCGAACATTTAACGGTTTAATCTAGTCGGTCATGCAGTTCCTCAAGAAAAGGATGGGTACGCTGATAAGTAGATACATTTTCACCGTACTAATGTATTCTAAATGTAATTAGGCAAGATCTCTCTTCATTAGCCATTTAGCAGGAATTTAGGTAGTAAAAGTAAGCAATATGCATTCATATGTATTTGAGGAGCTACATTTCCATCTCTATGGAAAGCTACACAAAGCTTATTACAGCTAAAGACGCACATTTAATAAAGTTTGTGATATGCAGAAATCTTAGCAAGATATAACAAAGATACTCCCTTGATAAGTACAACTATAAACGGTAGTTGCAACTATTCCAAGCCAAATCAGCTAAGGTACTGTTAAATAATGAAAATTTTGTGCAAAAATACCTATATTAGAACAATACTTCAATCTTATTAGATTAATCTTATTTAACGTACTTTTTTTGTGTATTAAAATAAGAGGTGCTCTAATTTGAAATTGACCGAATAAAGCATTAATTACAAAGTGACTTAGATTTTTCAATTTAAAAGATGCCAAAGAAGCTAAAAAATCATGTCATATTTCAGAAAGTATTTTAGAAAGAAGCTTTATAAATAGAAAAGAAATAATGTATAATTTTAATATTAATAATATTATAATCTTAAAATTATTTTAATATTAATAATATTAAAATAAATTTATTACTCTACTAATTATTTTGATCTTAATTTTTGTAATCCTTAACCGAATAAAATCGAATTACTTTAAAATTGTGTCCTAATGTAATTAAACAAAACTTGTGAAAATATTCCATTCAAATTAAATAGTTCTGAGTAAACTATTCTATGAAAAGTATAGCATTTAATTCTGTTCAGAATGAAATGTTGTTCAAAAATGTATTTTTTCACATACTTAGGACTCTGAAATGTTGTAGAAAAAGAAAACGTATATATTTATATGAATTTTTACGACGTAATTACAAAATATTTACATCCGATCGTGTCAAAACCCATTCACCTTAATGGTAAGTCACTGAATGTTTTGTTCACCACGGAAGGATTCAAAGTAGTGTATGGGGAAAACCGGTTAGGGTTTCTCCTTCTTACTTCCTACCTCCATGGTCTGATCAGCTGACGATGAACGTCCTCTTCCTGAAGTATATTTTTCCACATACTGTGTTTGAACTAATACTTTTTGTCAACCATAGCTCAAGTGGATTATTTTTTGCTTATTCAAATGTTTTATTACAAACTTTAACATATCTTCTTTTCTTAACTTTTATAACAGCCGTAGTAAGAAAGCACGTAAATTTATTGCCATGCAGAAGTGTATCTATCTATTGATATTAGTACAGATAGAAAGATGGATATAGCTTCAAGAGAATGTTTTTAGTTTCTATTCAACTGACGTCAAACCCAAACAAATGCTTCCTTTAAATCTATTTGAAGAGCTTGAAAACATTGCACTTTCTTTGAAATACATTTTCTCATAAAACCCAATAATAAGATATTTGTATTACGTCAGTCAAACATAATTTAAATTCACTTTTTGAGAATAAGACAAAGAAGATATAAAAACTTTCTTAGGTATATTTATGTGGACTAAATTATAATGAGTTGCTTTTCTTTATTTCAGGTAGAGTGTCATGCTTATCTACCACAATTCGAATTGCAAGAATTCTGTAAGAAACTCAACATAGCTTTCACAGCCTATTCACCTATTGGCGCTCCTGGCCAGCCAGAATTCCAGTACGTCATTTGTGTCTATATTATTGAATGTTAAGGTAAAATTTCAGCTTATGTCAGGCTTAAATTATAATATGATGCCAGAGCAGCTAGGTATATTAGCTCTAAGCTGCTTTTATATATTTCTGCAGTAGTCATGTAATTAAATTAATTCTTTTTTACTATAATTTTACAAATGGGGCATCGAATTAGTTTTATTCAATACTTCACGTAAATGAGAATATGTGGATAGTCTCGGAATTCTTCGGATATTCAGAAAAAATAATTTTCGGGAAAGTAAATTGGCTAAATTTCAGTGATTTATTATCAGGAATTCTAATGTACCCTGTTGAAAACTACATAAACTTACTGAACCTACTGAAGCTACTAGTAGATTATAGTTTTCATAAACAATAATAAATTATCTCAATTAATTTCATGCTTTAAAGTGTATAAAATCAGTTACGCTAAAAATAAGTGTAAACTATACATATCTTGACGACTGGACGGTAGATATAATGGATTTGGTCAGTTGTTTTACTGCGTAGTTTGCATAATGGTGCATAATGAATGTATCTTGATCTGTGATTGTATAAAAGGTGTCCGTTAAAAATTACATAAAAAAACATGATGCGGATTAATTTTTAAATGAGGCACTTTAGATTCATATATTATAAACAGTTCCTATTTTTAGCACAGAAAAGGGTAGTAGCCAAATTAAAATGAGGAATAAAAGGGACTATAGCTAAATTAAAGTTAGTAATTCGCTTTCCTATTTCTTATCTTTATATTTTTTATACTGTAGGACCACTAAAACCACTGCACTCAACTGACAGGAGCTTAATTTTACAGTTTCTCTTTCAGGAAATCAAAATGCATTTTATTATTGTTTTGAATACTCATTTATGTACCACCATTTAACTTCGAAAACAGCTTTGTCCTGGTTGCAGACAACTTTGAAGAGAAGTATCTTAAGAGCAATAGTCGAGTAAAAGGAAAAGTTGTGGAAAAGTTGTGAATGCTGTCAAATGAAAGAAAGTGTGTAATTGTATATATTTTTATAAGAAAAATCCGGATCTTATTGCCAATTTTTCCAAATAAGACATGAACATTAAATCCATTTGTGAGGTGCTAATTTTCGGATTATATTCGTCTTCCTGAAAATGAAGCTTCCGCGCAAAGAGAAAAACTGACATTTTGAAAAAATCGTTTCTTTAATTAAACTACTATTGAAATCTCCGTTTAATAATTATCAAAGGAGAGTTGAAAATTATCATTAGTTCTATGAACAGTTTTAATTCAACTCTAAACGTTTTACATATAAAATATTAAAAATTGTGTTAATATTTACCAACTGTCCATTTCCTTTGACCTTATACGCAACAATAATGTTACTTAAAATCTATTTTTATGTAAGATAATGTTTCATTTTCCACAACAGCAAACACATTGGTAAAATCGAGGCTATTAATAAACCAGGATTTAACAGTACTTAAATGCCAAGTCAAATTTTCTATTCTTTTCATATCACTTTTTATAAAATTATAGTTATGTATATATTGTTTTAGCTAAAATTTGTAGTTCTTGGCAGAGAGAGCTGCTTAGCGAATAATCGCTTAGTTCTAATGCTTAAACAACAAGTCCAAAGAAGGGTTAAATAACATTTTTATTTAACTCAAGAAATCACAGGCGGCCCCTTCTCGGGCTTACAGTAAGCCTCCACTTGGGATTTATCTTAAAACAGAAAATAAGAATCTAATCTAATGCTAACTAAACCAAAACCAGCCGAAGCTGCACGGCAATAACTAACAGAGTTGTGCCTCATTTTATATCACCGGCGGATACTAACAGGCAAGTAACAATACGGCAGAATAGCAGTTAGATTCTACTTAAAGCAACGACGAGGCCAGAAGGTAGAACACGCTTTACTAAAAACTTCTAAGCTCTTCTACTGAAGAGACTGAGACTTAAATAATGGTTCTACCTCATTTACATAAAATGCTATCCTGAAAATTCATTCTTGTAGGAAGTCGTGGGTGAGAAATTAGGAAGTAAAGGAAAGATTATTCAAAATTAAAAATAACTATTAGGAAATTAAGTACCCCCTACAAAAGGATTACACGAACGAAACTTACTACCTAAAAATCTTCCACGGTTCCACAAAGTACTATATGGCTCTCGATTATGAAAATAAATTAATTTCTTGGGATTTTAATTTATTTGATAATCCACATTATTATTCTTAGGCAATTAATTAGTTCTTATTCCATAGTCTGTGAATTTATGCGTAGAAGATATCATACTCTCATAAAAGTAACGTCTTAGAATGTAACTGGAAATGTTATAATATGCTTATTACCTTGATGAAAAGTTTTTGCGGGAGCGTAATGGAAAAGGATGGTAAATGTTTTTCAATTTTTCAACTGTCACTGCTGTAAATCTTCCACTAGATGTACCTGATGTTTAATGCGTGCTTCATAGCGTTTATTTCTGTAAATCTTGCCTGGTATCGCGTTCCAGAGATCACGTTTTCAGCCCCCAAAGTAAGGAAAGAATACTAATAAGCTTAATAGGTAAAAGCATACGCATGACGAGTTTTTATCGATTAAACGTAGAAAAACTAAGCAACATATATGAGACAGACAACATCGCTAGGGCTACTATCACGCAGAAGATTAAATTCTATGCTTTAGATTGATCGTAATTCTTTGGCTTTGTGTACAATAATAGTAACTTTTAGATACATTTTCTTTCTAACAAAGAAAGATTCAGACACTTGGCTTCCTATTCTTTAACAGACTTTCTTTTCATATTTTTTGTAAATACATACTTCTTGTATATACTTTCAAATCTGCACAGCATATATTAAAGAGAGATCATTGAATATTTGTGAAAATCAACATTAATGTTAATTATTTTTAGTAGTAGGTTGTGCCGAAGAGGGGCTGAATAAGGCGGTTGCCTTCGAAAAGTGTGAGAGATCCTAAAAAAGAATGCAATAAATTCAACATCTGTGCGAAAGTGTTAAAAAAAAGTTGCGAACAATTTTTAGATTTATCTCGAACGTTAAAAGTCGATCGGGATGGCTGTTATTGATCAATAGCGTCACCTTTTTAAGCTGACATGTTAGTCTTGATGTGCTAGTGACATGTTATGATAGTTTTGATATGTTAGTAATAACAGATGTCAATCGCGCTATAATTATCGAAATCCAGATTTTTGCATCAACATCATTACCAATTCCGTGTAAATGATGTTTCTATTTCAGTGCCGAATATTTGGTTCTTAATGTACGTTTGTTTTTCACAATATGAATTGATCTGAGACTAGAATACTGCCAATGTTATGTTACTCTAAACCCATTAATGGGCTCCAGTTTTATTCATGTTATAGAATATTTAGCAGCGTTTACAACATTCAGATACCTTTATTCTGTTCATTTTAAGGCTGAATTTTGATATCTGTTTTATTATCGATCACTTGATTTTGACTGCATTTTGGGATTTTAGTTAATCAGGATTTTATTTTTAAGGATACACTACTCTGCTTTGTTTGAATTACTAAAATTTCTGAATATAGTAATATTAAAATATTTTCAAGTGTAATTATTCAGTATAGACACAATATCTCATAGCTATTGGAAATTATAAAACTGACAATTTTACAAAACGTGTCACTAAAGATGGCTAACTTCATGAAGTGCTATAAATATTCTTTGATAAATCTGGGTAATAAAATTTCAATTCCCCCTAAAGTTTAGGCATTTGCATTCATATGCATTGCATAAATGAAACATTGTTAAGAGCTATCTTATATATAATGCTTAATTTACTATGACGGTTAAAAAAAACCTTAGTAACAATAATAACCTTAATAACAATTTCTCCGTTGATACAAAATTTTTCATTAGATTGTTAACAACATAAAATATAAAGAACAGTATCTTTTTGTACTTTTTTATTTCTCATCTATACCTTAAAAGTATCAGACATATTATTTACGAAATTATTGAGCAACCTTTCTTCGTAATATGACAATTTTCCTGCAAATAAAAAGACTTTTGAAAAACGACCATTAACACACAACCCCAACCGGGCTTTTCCTCCTGTCAATGGTATATCATTGAAATGATAGTAATAATTATCAACTATTGTCCAAAGATTTGCCTCACAGTCCATAATCTTCACCCTTAAGCTCATTTCAAATTATGAACTGAAATATTTCCTATGCAATTAAAATTTTCTTATAATGCTGCATGTCATATTTTCTATCGATTATTCTGACACAATGTTTTCATAAAAATGGAAAAATTGACACAGATGAACGTATTAATGCAACTAATGTTGTTTGTTCTAAGGTACGGGGGGCTGAGAACAAATCGATGGTTTTTCTATTTAACTCGAAAGCTTAAAACACTTTTTTTTACATTAGTGGATAAAAACACGAATTTAATTTTTCTGCATTATTTTTTAAGTGCGTGATACTATTACGAGGTACAGATCAATCATTTCGAGCTTTTGTATAATCCATAGATTTCTTTTGTTCTTTAAATGCAGGACGAACTTTCTGTACGTTCAAGTTGTTTTTTATTATTTATATTTTTTTCCCTTGACGAAAGTGCGTACTTTCTAAAGTTCTCTTTACGGGGAAAAACGCTTAAAACTAAACCGTGGAATAAAAATTTATTTTGCTTTATGTCAATTTACAAACCAGATCAGAAAAAAAAAAAAAAAAAAAAAAATGTATTTCACAAAAATGTCAACAAAGCTGAACTTAATATGACAGTAAAATTTCTCCATGTCTCAAAACTATATTCTCCTAACAGAATAGAAAAGAAATAATGCCTGATTTAAACATTGTTGCGTTTCTACGGGCTCGTGGATTTGGAGAGATCAACGACAACACTTGACGAAGAATGAAAACACAATTTTTTAGCTTGTGTTACTCAGGACAGCTCCAAAACACGTTTACAGTCGTCGAAAAACTACGGCAAACAAGCTGAAACAATCAGCAACACAGCCTTCAGGCTATCCGGTTTTAACGACGAAGACAGCTTCACGGCAAAGCACGAGAGTACAGCTCCCGACTCGGTTCGGTAGCTCTCGGAACTCAACGTTTTCTCGAGACCCTCCACACTTTAACTCGCGATGCACTCGACGATACACTCGATGCACTACTCGCTAAAACTGAGGATGCACCAAACCAATAAGAATTCATTCTAGAATGTTCTCCGTCCGTCTATGGCATATCGCCGATTTTTGTCGCTAAATGGGCGATTTCGCGCCAAATATGGAAACCCTGCCTTCCCATGCTATTTTCTGGCAACCCTAAACCCATCTTGCGGCGAAGCTATCGTACCGCGACTGGGCATTTCGTAACAATATTAATAATAAAAACCACTGACTTTAATTTTTATTAATTTTTGATCAAATAAAACCAGATTGACTTTAAAAAAATTTCTCTCTAAGCAAACGTTTCTCAAATAACCGTTTCATTATTTTCTTGCAATTTCAAAGGAAAATCAGATATCGTAGAAATGTACTAAAATGACTTCCTACTAGTTCATTAATTTTGCTTTGCTTGAAATCTGGGATATTTCAAAAAACTTCTGTAAGCTCCTAAACCAAGAGAATTAGGATATACAATATTTATGTTACTTACAATACTACTGTTTACAGTAAATAAACGAAATGAGAATTTGCTTTCTAATATTCAATATCTGATATTTATCACTGGTTTATTTACATAGTCAGTTCTTGAACATGTAAAATACTAATCATATAATTTTAAAATTTATTAAATATCATCCTGTTTATTGTCTGTGATTTTTCTGATTAGAACTTTATTTCAGAATTTTCTCTTGCTTTGTACGATGAACACTTCATTAAGGTATAAATATTTTATGAACAGTTTTGTATTATATATTTAAACAGTAACTTAAAATATAAACATCATATGAACTGTTTAATATCATCGCTTTTAATATTATATTTATGGTCAATAATTATTTATGACTTTAATCATACGAAGACAGGTGATGCTAGTGTAGTTTATGCTATTTAAAAGAAAATGGAGAGCTGCTAAAAGATTAATAACAGAAATCTATAACATCATTTTTGTTAGTTCAGGCGATCCTATTCACGTGTGTTCCATTGAGTACTATACAGAATGCATCAGTACAGTTTTGACAAACTTTCAGGAGAGATAGAGTACAACTAGACGAGAAGAAATCACATGGTAATACATGGTCGGAAACGCTTTCCTGGCGCGGTAGTGACGACACAAAAAGCAAAAAAAGAAGGTCACAAACAATGAGACAAAACATGTTTTTATTGTGTTTAGTACAGTAGAAATATACAAATAAGAACAAAAGCAAACCACGATTGTCATTAAAGAAGGTGTTTGAAATTACGACCCCGGACCGTGATGCAGGCCTCACATCTCCGCAGCATGGAAGATCTGCATCACAAATGGAAGATGCATGACGCGCGATTCCTGCATCATGGTCTGGGTCGTCATTTCGAACACATTCTTTGATGATGATCGTAGCTTTTTCTTTATTTTTGTTGTACTTTAATAAACATGTTTTCTCACCCTCTTAGTGTCCTTTCTTTCTTGACTTTTGCGTCGTCACTACCGCGCCAGGAAAGCGTTTCCGGTCATGCATTCCTATGTGATTTCCCATCGTCTAGGTGTACTCTATCTCTCCTGAAAGTTTGTCAACGCTGTACTGATACACCCTGTAGATCTGAAAGCATCTTTGTTATTTTCTTGTTACAGAAGATTGTCTATAGCCAGTAAATTCGGTCCATGTAAGACATATAAGTTATATTGTGCTTAACAGGATCATCAGAAAAATAAGTGTACGGGACATTCAGATCAGGGTATCACATAATTTCAGTGTTTTATAAAGAAGTCTTTTTTGTACACTTGACACACAGTTGCAAACTGTAGAAAATATTCGAAAGCAAAGTGGTCGATGCCATAATTATATGATGATAAAGATATGCTGTCGTAATTATTCTATGCTACCCAGCTAGCAAATGCACTGGAAAGAAAACTAATCAGCAGCTTTATGGACCGCATAAATGGCTTTTTATCAGCGGCTAAATCAAATGAACCTGTGTGCAAGAAAACCCGCTATACTCATCTTTTAAGTATGCGACGCATGGAAATAGAACATTCTCCTGGACACCTTACTTGAATCCCTCAGTGATAGAAAAGTGCACTGCTTCCAGATAAATACCATTTCAGCTTAGAGAAGGTTTTTCGAGGCATATTCGTTATACGGCCTGATAGGTATAATTAGGTTCAGCAATATCTTGAATCCCAGGATATAATATATGCATAAGATTCAGACCCATACACAACTTACCAAATCTAAAGTTAACCGACAGCCCACCAGATTCAGATACCATTATATATATATATATATATATATATATATAATGGTATCTGAATATATATATAATATATATATATATATATATATATAATGGTATATATACCAGACACCTCGGCCCATTAGATATTTATGAAACATTTGGCGAAAGGTAACCTTTTACCATAGAGTACTGAACAGCTCTGAAGATTGCTTGTTCAAGAGGATTCATTGTTCATTGTTGCTTGATGGTCTCAACAGCAACATGATGAACTGTTATACAGCATGTATAACCTACATTTACCAGAAGAAATTCATGACACAAGCGGTGTCGCAATAGATATTCCTTATCACCTCAGGTAAAGAGCCTAATGTGACTTTGAAATCCGAAAAGAGCTACTGATGCGCTGTGTACACATCTCAGCCAATGATGAATCCGCTCTTTTGATGATTTTACGCCATTAACACTATTTCGTTGTATATAAAAAAAAATAATTTTAGTCCAAAGGGGCAATTTTCCCAGAACGACTAATTTCTCACTTAGTGGTTCAGATCTAGTCACATGTATATAATGCTAAAATTTACTGGATAGGATACATAATTACGAGTATCTTCTGTGTGTTGTAATCTTCAATAAAAACGGCTTTTGAAAGTATTAACTATGAAAGAAGGCGCTTCGAACGTTATAATATATGACGTAAAAGTGGTTTGTGGGACTTAAAGTAGAATCCCGGCTATAAAAAGTTTTATTTTTCTAGCAATGTAACTCTTTTATAGCTACATAAATGTGTTTAATGTGACTATCAAACATTAATTGAGGTAATGGGAAAGGGGCGTTTATCATCTAGGTTAGTTGAAAGTAGAAAACAGGCGTAAGAAAAACTTTCCGTCTATTTATAATGTACCATTCTTGTTGACAAAGGAAAAATATTCACTATTAAGTGAAAGACGTGGGCCCTAGCATACTACAGATAAAGTTTTTGAATAATTTTATAGTGATGTATAAATTATCTTGTAGTCTGCTATAAATTTAAGATCGCTTTATACTAATTTAAAAGTTCCTGCGGGTTATTCCATGAGTTTTTAAAATGTTACGTTCTTAAGAAATAATTTCTTTAATTTAATTATACAGTACGTCATATTTCTCTTCCTCTTTCATCGTCATATTTCACTTCCTTGTATCTAACTGCTCCTATATAAATAAGATGGTTCAGTAGTCGACTTGTCGCCAAGCGGCAAGATCGCTGAACACTGGTAGTTCGACCCGGACTCACGTCCTGGTAAAGGGATTGACTGCATGGCTTTGGTTTGATTATTTGAATATGACAAAGCACACTAGAGCTATCTGGCTAAGGGAAGGGATAGCTTCGTGGAGAGCATACTAAGGGAAACTGGCTCGTGTTCACGTTGCACAACCAACTACTCAAATCATTCGCCTGGGATCAAACCCGGGTCGAATTGCCAGCATTCAGCGTTGTTAGCCACTAGTGGGGATAGAAGGTTTAGCACTTTTCTCCAGGTGCAACGCAAATAGGAGCCAGTTTTCGTTAAAACGTAATTCATCAAGCCTTCTTCTCCTGTTCAGGCAGATATGTCTTTGTGCACTTTGCCATTGTCAGATACTCTAGTTCAACCCAGTGTACTTTAATATAATAATTTATCATACCGTCTGTATTTTCAATATCTGTCTTTTCCAGGAAAGGAGAAACAAAAGAACTCAGACTACTGGATGATCCGAAACTCAAACCGATTTGTGAAAAACATGGAAAATCCCCGGCACAGGTAAGATCTGAGTTTTTGCTGCTTTTATTTTGTTCAGCATCTCGCAAATCAAAATTTATAACTTCATTTACCATTCTACATAAAGTAAGACAGAAAAAATTCCACTAAGTAATTTTACGTGTTACATTGTAACTCAAATAAATATGCAACCACTTAAAAACGCATAAGTAAAATTTTTTATCTTCCCACTGTGCTCACAGACATTGTAAAATCTTACGAAATTTTTTATTACTTTACATATTTCCCAATTTATTGAAAAAAAGAAACATGTAACAGAAAAACAGATTGAAAAACAGAAACTTCAAAGAACAACAATGAGAAAAATTACTGAAAATCTATTTGCAACAGAGTTTTAGTTATTTCTGGCTCCTCACCAAAACTAAGTAGTTTTTTTCTTTGCAAGAAGACTGTCCATTTATCATTGTTGTGAAGAAAATGAAGTAGGATACAGGGTTTTAGAGCAGTGGATAAAGATAAGGCTTATTTATTTTTAAATGCTTGTTTTTGGATATTTGTAGCCATAGCTGATCGTCTTTTCATAGTTGTATTTCTATTGGCATTCACCTTTTTTTCGTTTCTTTCCAAAAGAAATTTTTTTTCATTATATATTTCGAATTTTTTTGTTATTGACTGAGTTTTTCATAACAGCTTATATAAAACTGAACTTGGTAACCTATTAATCATCCTTTAAAGTGAACAAAGCAATTTTCTTGGAAATTTTTAATGGAGATTTGTAATGGATTTTAAGCTGCATTATAAAGTATTTTCTCCCTACTTCCAGCATGCCTTCGTGGTGTAATGGTAGCACACTCGGCGCGCATTCGAGAGGTACAGGTTTGAGTCCCGGAGACGGCAATACACAATTTTCCTTTCTCCAGCATAAAAAAACAACAACAACCTAATGATTCTACAACGGCACCTGAACTAAAAGGTTGTGAACAATAATTTATCAACTGGTACCCCTAAGCCCCAGTCGCTCTTTAAATGGGGGAGCATATAAAGTAATTTCTCCCTCCTTCCGGTATGCCTTCGTGGTGTAACGGTAGCACACTCGGCGCGTCTTCGAAAGGTCCATAGTCGAGTCTCGGCAAGGGCATTGCACATTTTACCTTTTCCAGCACTCAGAAACATCAGCATCTGTAAGACTTCAATAACCTTAACTGTCAGTTTTTTAAAATTTTAACTCGTTATTTTCTTTATACTCGTAAAATCGCAGGGAATTTTACTGTCCATGAATTCTGTTTGAAACTGTCAAAAGCTCCGAAATAAATGGAATCTTTTGAGCTCAAAATGGCAGCAATATGAAATATAACAACTTACAGCAATTAAGGCAAAGCATTTGATATAGTTTTAAGCCATATTATAACGATTGATTTCTAGGCAGAGCAGTGCTGTTCAATAAATGTTATCGAGTTGTTAGATTATTTATTACCTTGAAACATAAAAACAATAAATTTTCTAGTTTTATATTCACGAAGCAGAGGGCGTAGTTTGTTGTAAATTAGAACACATACACAGATATAAAACCTGCACGAACCTCGGCCTTCTAAATTGAAATTTTAAGAACATCCAATTGAATTAATGAATTAAAACAAGGACTGCATAAAGTGTTCATACATATCTTATATTTAAACAATGAATTATTTTCGACTTAAGAAATTCAGCTATAAACTATATATAACCTTTCACTATTCAGCTAAAACCCTTCATTGAGTAATTCGGTTGTAAACTTATGCCATTCAATGTAATAAATTCAAATTTGCTTTAAAAATTATTGAATTTTTATACTTAAAAGAATTTATGCACTTCATATGTTACTGCTAGTTATTGTGTATTTCAAATTTGCTTAAAAAATTAATGAACTTTTATATTTAAAAGGAATTTATGCACTTCATATGTAACTGCTAGTTATTTTTATAGCATTTTTGTTGCTCTAGAATCAGATTAATAACTTGTTTTTTACAGATTTTACTTCGTTATCTGGTACAAAGAGGAATAATTGTCATTCCCAAAAGTTCCAATCCAAAAAGACTTAAAGAAAATATTCAGGCAAGTAAACCTATTTTTTATTCTCATTTACATTACTGAGATAAATATGTATAAATTATTGCCAGTACCTATATTGCAATCCGACATTTATGAAAACAACCTACGTTTGTGTGAAATTTAGAATAAACTAATTTACAGAGCAAATTGATAGCTTAAAGCCAAATGTTGCTAACTGGAAAAATAAAAGTTATACATCTTAAATTAACATTTTTTTCAAAGGAGTTTTATGCATATCCACGATACGATCCCTTTCTGTAATCAAGCCCATCTGTCGATGAGCGGTAAGACCACTAAACACTGGTAATTGGATCCGGGTTCAGATCTCAGCGAAACGCCGGATGCATGGCAGTTTTCATGATTTGCTCGTGTTAAATGAATATGAGCTAGTTTCTCTTAGAAAGTCTTCCACGAAACCATTCCTTCTCTTAGGTAGCTTTTCTGAACTTTACCGTAACTAAATAAACCAGTCTGTCTAAAATCAGCTGGAAATAACCAGTACATCTACAGAAGAGATCAAGTCATTTAATAAGTTATTTTAATTTTACCGACTGAATTCAAATGTTCTTAATAAGGTCTTTAAAAATTTCTATAAATTGAATTTTATACTATGTTATTTGAGCTCGGGGCTTAGATATTTGAATAAATTTATACAACATACGATATAGATCTGCTTGCTACACACTTTCTAACTAATATGAATTAGAAAAGTTAGCTTCATTAGAATATTTTGTCTGTTGTGGTTTGCATAATGGAATAAATATAAGTTTTGAATTTTAGTTTATCCAAAACTTAGAAATTATAGCAGCCTGTTATCTCAAATGTGTTTGAATTGAGGATGGTATTAATTAAATACCGCTTTGATAATATTTAAATAATATAATTTACATATTTCTCTTCGAAATCCTTCGATTTTTTTTTATTTCACGCACACACACATAAAAAATAGGTATATAGTTTTTTAAAAGAACAAACGTAATAAGTTTATTATAGAATGAGTCTTTCATAAAATGACGTTAACGCAATCGATCTGCTACATAAAAAAGGAACGATAAAAAAAATATTCTCTCCTGGAAGGAAAAATGAAAACTTGGCATCGATCTAATTGCTTTACGAAATGACGACTTGCTAATGAGCTATGTTCGAGACTGACTGTCGATTTTGTAATCCCAAGCGATACGTAATTGTACGAAACTATTTTACTTTTGTGTAGTCTGATTTTGTGTCAAAATACCTGTCTTAGAGCATTGTTATATATAAATCTAATATATGTCCTAATCTCGCGTTTTCGAGACATGAAAAACGCAATTTAAATTTCGCCATTTGACCCAGTAGAACGGGAGATATAGAACTGTCTGCTGTGTACCTATTTATTAAGCGATAATAGAAATACTTTCAACTAACATTTGCTTCATTTTCCCCCTTTTGATTACAATAATATATAAGTTTGTATAAATTCTATATATTTTCTTAATCCGAATTTAATTTATCCCCTTTTTTTTCATATAAAGCTAACCTTGCGAAATGCGATTTTGTCTTACGTACACGCAATGTGTTATTGACATAACCCTGCGTTCGGCAAGGGTTCACTCTACATTTGTTTAGTCGTTAGATGGGCGTTAACAACGGTTGGGAGTTGACGATGGATGGCAACATTAAAGAATGCAGTTGTTAACTTCGAACAAATTGTGTTCCTTCATCGTTTATGTTCGCAAATGCAAGCCTGTTCACATTTAAATTTCGTGCTGCGACAAGGTTAATGCATAAATAATGAGAAATTTGGTGTGTCTAATGTTTAATCTATAAATTCAGAAGGCTGAAAAATGACAAGCTTCAAGCCCTGACAAATTAGTTTAAGAATTTAACAGAGCCATCTACATTTTTATTCAGATTTATTTTGCTTATTATTAGCAATAACCATGTTGATTATAGATGCGTGTTCATCACCAGTTAGTCTCTTCGAATTTAAAAGGAATATGTAAGTTAGTTTTGATTATGTAGGGAAAATTATAGCCGCGGCAAGCAGTTTCTTCTAAAGACTTAAAAAGTTAAGTTAATGCACTTCGACATCAGAACTGAATTTTTTTAGGTTAATAATAATGATTTGAAAGCAAATCACTACGAGAAGTAAATGTCACTCGATTATTTATGGAAGTAAAAAATGTTCAATTAACTTGGGATGAACAGCAAAAAAATATGTTTGAAATTTGATACAGTAACTGAGACATATTTTTTTTTTTACTATGAGATGGGTACTACTGTATATGCATCGAAATTTTTACTGTTGTTTATAATAAAGTTTTGACTGCTGAATCAAGTAACCTTTGTTTCAGATATTTGATTTCTGCCTGTCTGAAGAGGATATGAACATTTTAAAATCCATGGCTAAAAACAGACGTTATTTTACTTTCGAAACTTACAAAGGGTGAGTAATTTGTCTCTTCATTTGATTTGATTTTATGTGAATTAATGTAAGTTATTCTTGTACGAGAAAATCAGTTCATATGAGTATCATAATAATATGATCACAGATTTCCACTCCATATTTACGATATTTTATTTATTTATTTTTTATTCTCCATGAGTATATTAGTCTATTATTCCATGTTCCATGTTGTTATTATGATTCCAGTATTCCATGTTCAGGTAATAGCAACACTTTGCTGTTACTATTACCTCAACAACCCACGGAAAAGGACTTGATAAAACTGAATAAGTCGTTCTCCAAAGAACAGCACTAAAGAGATATAAAAAAGATAAAGATACTAAAGTGATGAAGTAAAAAAATAAACGTTAAGTTCGCAAAATAAATAGTAATAGTCAAACCACATTTTTAGATTAAAATATCTTAGGTTTCTATCTGTCTCTTTCGATATCATTTTAGACGAATAGAAGGAAAAAGGAATTTTAATGGACTTTTAATTCGCATTCCATAATGTGAGAAATATATTTAGTGCTTTAGCCAACGGCTGTTGAGGTAATACAAGCAGCATAATGTTGTTATTTTTAAAGTTTTATCTAAAGAAATAATATATAATGATTTTAATGAGTCCGGTTAGTCTTCTTTCACAGCTCCTACTAGAAACTGATAATGATAGAGATGAAGATCTGTATTTATTACTTTTGAATTTTTTAATTTATTAATCGATAGACAGGTTAAATTTAAAAGAAGAACTAAGTGTCTTACACTTTGCCAAATGAGAACACACTGGTGCGAAGAAGATAAAAATATTACATTTCAGGCAGTGGTAACACAATTTTTCTAATTCTCTGAGTTTTCTAATTGATATTGATATGTTTGAAAATTCATTCATTAAAGAAGTCAAACATAGCTTTGAATCGCAAAACATGAGATTTAAAATTTCTAATAATCAATACTGCTCCGGGACTCGATGTTAAAGCCCTCACAACAATGCATCAAAATGCAGAGTTTTCTTCTTTCTAACCGAACACTACTTCCGATAAACAGTCTAGTGCGATGGCTATAACAATATTTTGTTTTAATCCGCACAGTTTTGCTACTGTTTGCTTTCAAATCGTTGAGTTTGTTCATAATTCATTAAGTTTTCATAATATGAAATATAAAATTCAAAATTCAAAATTCGGGCTTCGAGGTGCACAAGTTTGAGTGGAAGTCTACATTATTTAAAAATTGATGGTCGTCGTTACTTCATAATGCGAGAAAAATCTATATGTTCATGCAGGTACTTCGTTATTTAATTTCTTTAAAAGTAACACAGGGTTCGTGACGAGAATTTGAAAAGTGATTCAAAAATTCCAAGTGATAAGTCGCCAAATCCCGTTTCGAGTTGGGCTAACCACCGTTTCGGGTTAATAAAAAAAAGTTTTGTTAAGCCTTCTCTGTAAGAGAGCTGAACATTTATATGATGAACTGAATAAAGACGGAAATAGGAAAGTGCATGCCAAAGCTTAACACTGCATCGGGTTTCTTCGTTAAGTAGCATGTTTTTAAAGAAGAGCAGTGTGTCTTAGGAAGTTTTTGCTCGGGACTGACAAACAGAGAAGGGTGTCTTTAACGTTGTTATGGCTAATCTCACTTGTCTGACGTCATCAGAACAAGGCTACGAATTTTATTGTGGAAATGATGTAAGACTGTATCAGTCGTTAGCATGACTCTTAAACACCATATAAGTGTCAGTACGACTTTGCCCAGTTCCGCTGCGATATTAACTTAGAGCACATCGGAGGACGGGTCCAAGAGTCTCTCTCCCCTCTTCTCCCACCAACAAACCACTCAAGAGGGCTTTCACCCTTCCGTATATTTTGAGTGCCGCTATGAAACACAGACACTATACATTTGCAAACACCCATGCCTTATCCGGGATTCAAACCCAGGCCTTTCTGTATGGTAATCAACATCACTAACCACTATCTCATCTCCGCCGTTTCACTTAAGTAATTTCCAGAAATGGCTTTTTCATCTATCCCAAAAAATCAGAAAAACTTAAATTAATTCAAAATTTAGAGTTGGACTTTTGAATAGGATTTTTCTGCTGTACACTTTTGTCAAAATTCTAAAGGACAGTACCATTAAAATTATTTAAATATAAAAAAAAGTTTTAATAATTTTAATGGATATTAAAATATATGAAGAAAACTCCGAAGGTTTATTCAACATTCGAATAATATTCGCGAAATCTCCGAAAATTCCCAAAATTCGCACCGCGATAAAATTATTGCCTGAGATATAACTAATTTAGTTTTCCTTAACAGTTAGGCGAGTATATGCTATGCGTTAACCCTTTTGAACCTAAGAAAGCCTATTTTTGTTTTTTTATTCAATAGAATCCAAAAATTCATTTTTTATCTGTTATTACTAGTATACTTCCGATTTTTTTTTCTGTGACCTATGAATACGTATATGGATACATAACCTATATCTCATGAAGAATTAGAAAATTAAACGCTTCTTTAAAACTGGTTTCTCAGAATACCCTAGATTTTACAAATATCAGATTTAGGCGGTGAAACGCTCGAAATGTGGTATCAGCATTTTTATAAATGCTCGCGATTACTATCTTTGACAACTATTAAGCATGAAAGCTCGCAGGTCCACGGATAAAGTTTGACACTTTTGTTTTTTACTCTGACCACCCGGAAAACTTCTACACTGCATTGTATTCATTAAAACTGACAGTGTTAGTATCATTCTGTTTGCAGCAATATAAATAAATAAACAAAAACTGCTAGGTTTATCCTGCCATTTTAATTTTATGCTTTCCTCCATATTCTAATGAAATATTTGTTATACAAAGCCAGCATATTTTTTTATTATTTATCACTATACATTCATTATCTTCTTCAGATATCAGAATATGACAGGAAAAAGACAGTTTTGGCTTCATAAGTTGAAACTCTTGTGACTTAATCATACGCTTAATTTTATAGAACTTATGATACAAACATTAGGACTTTTTTGAAGCAGGAGACAGTGAAAAATAAACAATGCCACCACTGGGACTCAAGCCTGTACCCCTCGAATACGCGTCGAGTGTGCTACCGTTACACCACGAAGTCATGCAGAAAGGAGGGAGTAAATACGTTATGCACTCCCCTTTTAAAGGGCGACTGAGGATTAGGGGATCCAATCGCCAAATCCTGGTGGTGAAAAATCATCATCCTCCACCTTTTACTTTGAGTACCACTGAAGAAACATTAGATATTTTTCATATGAAAGATGTGAAAAATGTGCAATGCTCTCGCCAAGCTCGAACCTGGACCTCTCGAATACGCGCCGAGAGTGCTATCGGTACATCCCGAAGACATGCAAAAAGGGAGAAAATGCCTTATACCACTGATATAAGTAAAATATATAATCTATTTTTTATCAACAGAAACGATAATTATAGATTAATCAACAAACCAGCAGTCTCGTGCTACTAAAAGTTATGCATTTTTATAAAAGAAAAGCCTTTAAACTACACTCATGTCCATAAATTAAGGGTAATGCAAAATCAGGCAAAGGAAGAGTTAGAAGCAAAACTACTTTGACGTATTTGTAAAGCTTATTTATTAAAGAAAAGGTAAAGAGAAAAAAAAGATGCTACGTGTTTGATATTATTACAAAATTAGCGATTTTTTCTCCCTGGAGCAAATTACAAAAAAAAAAAAAAAAAAAAAAAAAAAAAAAAAAACCTATTTACAAAAAAACAATATTACATCGTTGGTATGATTGTTAATACATCATATGTCTCCCAGACGATGCAATATAGTCCGTACAACGCCTAGGCATGCTGAGTATCAAATTGTCGATCTGATCTTGCAGGATATTACACCACTCAAAAAGCAATACTCTCCGAAGTTCCGGTACACATGTAGGAGGAGGTTGACGGGCTGCAACTCGTCGGCCAAGCATGTCCCACACGGACTCTACTGAATTCAAGTACCGTGAGAATGCTGGCCAGTCCATACGGGTGATATCCTCCGATTGAAGGCATTCGCTTACAATGTTTGCACGGTTAGGACGGGCGTTGTCATCCATAAACACAAATTGTGCACCCATGGCGCCCCGAAACAAACGTACATGTTGTTCCAGAATGAAGTCCCGATAGATTTGGCTTGTCATGGTTCCAATTTGAACACGCAGGTCAGTTCTGGAACCCAGAATAATTCCACCCCAAACGAGCACTCCTGTACCACCGTAACTCCTGCACCACCGGAATTTCCTTTCAAAATACGTTACTGATGTCAAGAAAATGCTTTTAAATTTCATTAGGAACTCTTGCTGAACGTTATAAACACTGCAAATGCAAATAAGATTTTGTTCAATGATGTTTTCTTGGTGGTAACCAAGAAAAGTTAGTCCAGTCAAGTTACCTCCAGTCCAACGAGAATCAGACTGCAAGCTAAACCTGGACTTGTCGGAAAACATCAGAGAAGCCCAGTGTTGCGGTGTCCACAATGCATGCTCTCTACTCCAGGCTAACCGCAGGCGACAGTGAGTTGCAGTAAGCGGAACGCATCTGACAGGTCTACGAGCATATAGACCAATCTGCCCTAAGCGTCTGTACACGGTCTGCCTTCAAATTGTCGTACCAGTGGCTGAAGACAGCTGACGAGACAGGTCTGAGGCTGGGCTCCGCCTGTTTCTTTTGGCAGTAACTGCCAAATACCGGTCCTCATTCGGCGTTGTAACTCTGGGGCGACTTGTGCTGTAACGTCTACTCACATTACCATCATCTTGGAATCGTTGCCAAAGCCTGGAGATGACACTCTGGGTAATTCCAAGTTCGTCTGATACTTTCAGTTCGGTACGCCCACATTCTAGACGGCCAATAATTCTACCACGTAAAAAATCATCCAAATGCGTCCTTTGTGTCATAACTATTCGGTTATTGCATTGAAATGCTTATAAAGCGCCTGCGAACAATTTTACTTCTTTGCCTGTATTCTTTATATATCACTATCTTACACTATCGTTATTGTGACGTACCATCGGTGTTATCTGGTTACTTCCTGAAATTTGCATATGATTCTTGAAGATGTGTGTAGTGATTTTACAGGTGATATATTTATTTTAGAGTTCGATTTCCGCATGACTCCAAATTATCCTTAGTTTATGGTCATGAGTGTAGTTAGAACCAATTAAGCAGCATGACATATCTGAAGGGAAAAATTGTCTGCTAGATATATTCTTGATGTTTAATTCTTTTCAGATTTAGATTCCAGGGGAAAATAGTCTAAATGAGAACTTCACTTGTCAAGTACAAATTTGTTGTCGTAAAATGAATATTTAAAATAAACAGATCAGATACTCATATACGCGAGTAAAAAAACGTTCCCGTGAATGAAAATTCCTTAATTAAAACTAATTTCAGAAATCAGTTTAATACGCGTTATTAAAACTATTACAATGACAGAAAGCTAAGTAAACATCACTTATGATTAAATTTTTGAATTACGAAAAGTATTTTTTAATTTTTTCATTTATTTTTCAGAATGCAAGATCATCCGGAATTTCCTTTCAAAATACCTTACTGATGTCAAGAAAATGCTTTTAAATTTCATTAGGAACTCTTGCTGAACGTCATAAACACTGCAAATGCAAATATGATTTTGTACTTTATGTGACATATTGCACAGATAATCGCAATAGCTGAAAACAATATGGAAAATATCTATGCTTTTTTAATGTCTTATATTTCATATCTCCTTTTGTTTTGTCACTTTCGAAGTATTGTTACAATTATAAGTTCTTAAGCTTAACAATTCACGAATTGTAAGTAGTTGAACTTACAATTTAGATGTAATAATAAATAAAAATGTATTAAATAAAGTCTTCTTGTTATTTATAAATTTTGTGCACATTTGAGGGAACGATATTTTGAAATTTTTCAAATTTGAGAAAGCAAATTTAAGAGAATCAATTTTAGGTTCGTCCTGTGTATTTAAAGCAGCAAGAAATGTTGCCATGAGTGGAAACAGAAAGGATGTGTCTTTAATTTTAATTAATAAGTTTGATACTGTAATGCCTTCATTTTAGAGTCATTAATAACTTTAGCGTTTTATTATATAACACATAATAATGTACACGCTTACTTCCTTACATTTCTTTCTTTTTATTCATTATTTAATTAGAAAATAAAGACAGAAAATCAATTATTAATTAATGTTTAGTACATTAATAAACGTTCGGCTTATTTTTGAAATTGTTTTCTATGTGTTTTTACTTTTTTCTTTTAATGACAATTATTTTTACATTATTTTTTATAAACGTAAAGGGGGAAATAATAGTGAATTTGTGGGTTAAAAAGTGATCTATGCTTTAACTTGAAATTGCTAAATTTATTATTATTCTATCAAAAAATACTATCAAAGCCTTTAGAAAAGTACAAATTATAAAAACTGAGTTACTTTACTTTAAAACAATCCAATCTGTTTTATTCGCGAACGTTATTTTCAGTTGACTTTGTAGAAATAAGAAATGAAGTTATTATAAAGTCGCATAATACATGTTCTCATGCATCAATATTGTTGTGTAATGTTATTGATATTAAAATACTATTCATATATCTATTCAATATTACTGTATCTATTCCGGACGATCACACACACTCCTCGAGCTTCTTACAGAAATTCGAAAATCTTCTTTCTACCAGGAACTTTGTCATTAAGCTCCCGAAACCTGCAACACGATAATTTCTGTTTAATAATTTGTATCAGTAACTTTTTCCAAGATGTTGTTTTTGAATATATCATATCGCATACGACTGTCTTAGATATATTTTACAATCATCCTAATATTCAGAAAGGAAAGAAAGATAATATTTCTTACAGGTATATTTGAAGAAAGGAATGTAAATTTATCCTAAACGAAGTTACAGGCACCCGAATGGCTAAATTTTTTTAAACATTTATTATAATTCAGAGTTAGATATGATTACCGGAAAAGAAACGAGCTAACTAAGCAGAATTATTTAAGGCTACGTTTCTGTAACGCAGTTGTAAAATGAAATTCCAATAGTTCTCACTTCCCTTATTAGTAACCTAATAAAAATTATTTTAAACACTAATACAATTATTTGGGTTTTCATTTCAGTCGGAGCAGAATTTTTGGAAGATTTTGCTATCTGTAAGCTCATAATTATTTCCGTTTAGACAGGATATTCCATAGAATGCAAAGTTTTGAAGATAGGAAGACGTATATTTTATTGTAAATAACCTAATTAAATTTGGAGAAACAGTCTGTAACAAACAACCATTCTCAAAGAATCTGCGACATAATTTCTATTTTCTACGGCAAAGATTTCTAATTAAAGGTTGCTATTTTGATTACAATTTAGAAAATGAGAAAGTGTAAGTACAACATTTGAAAACATTCAGAAGTTCTTCGAATAAGAAAGAAGATATGTATACCAGGAAAAATATATATAATATGTATAAGGCTAAGTAATGATAAAATTGTTTCTTCAATTTTACAAATTGCTATCAATGTTGATTCCTGAGAACTTGTAGAGGTACGCTGAGTGTAAATGAATGCATATGTATTCCGTATATAGGCTTGTTGATACATATCATATACATCTTCCTAAATGCCAGGTTGATAAAAATTCTTAAACGAATCTGGTTTCCATGCCCTTTGTAGTAATTTCCTTCTCTGTTAAGTACCGACACCAGTGCTCGCATAATGATTGTTAACTCTCTTTAAAAATTATTTAATCTAGAAACCTCTGTGATTTAGTTTGAATAACCTTGATGGCGACTGTTCAGACTTGAATTTTAGCCTTAAAAAAGGGGCGTATACTTTCAAATGAAACGAATAGGCATAGCAATGGAAAACCCAAATTTCCGAAGCTCAAAACAGCTAAAGAGGCCAGAGGTGAAATTATGATTTAGGCTGATATATTTGCTTGTCGACATGATGGTTGTTTTTCCTTTCCTCAAGTGCGACTGTCAAGGCATATTTTACTGTAGAACTTTAAGCAATCTGAAAGAGATCTATCATCTCAAAAGACTGCAACTGTGGAGTGATGGGTCCTTGACGCAAAAGTACGAAGACAGAATTTTCTGTAGGCCATTAATTTTAAGCGGACGTAATTTTCGCAATGGGTCCACATCCCCTTGTTCGCAGATTTTTCTGAAGTCTACATTAAATTATCGCCTTTTACATTTTTGCAAATTACAGGTCTAACTGCAGAAAGTACTAGACCAACTTCAATTAAGAGCCTTCCAAGCAGCACTCTAGTTATAGATCAAACCTGGGATTAGTATATAATTGCAGAATTGGGCTGTTTTGTAGAAGAGAGAAATCAGGTTCAATTCATGCAGATTTTTAAATTTGTCTGGTTGCGTTTTGGTGAGCCTGGTATAGTCAAAAGAGATTCAAACTTCTTGAAACGTTTTTGTCTCACGTTAAATTCTGAATATCCTTCTTTCTTCTATTTGTTATGAACAAAGGAAATAAAGAACAAAAACGCTATAAAAGAAAAGTTCTCTAGATTCCCGTTCATTCTTATCTTCAGATTACATATTGGATAAGAAAAACAGGCTAATATATTCCAGACTGTCCTTTGAGAAGTGCAGCGTAATGCCCGTCATCCAAACCAGTCAGTCCGAAATTATTCTCTTGGGGGTTGTAAACTGAGGAGGAATTTGATCTCATTTCGTATTCACGTGGCAAACCGGAGGGTGGGAGTTAGAAAAGAAGCAAATAAGCGGTATCTTTTATGCCCCAGAGCCACGCCTATTTTGCCTCCAATCGATAGATCTGAGAAAGTCTTCAATCGATATCGTTTTCTTCCTCCTCTTACAATTCATCTCCCGATTCAGGAAATAAATCGTTTTCTGCACGAGTTATCCCAGAATAGAATACAGCAGGTAAGAAGGTAAAATGACATTAGATTTTTTTTATTCGTTATTATTATCATCACTATTTTATTTTGTCCGTCCGATTTCGTTCAAAAAGTGTTTTTTTTTTTTTTTTTTTTCGGTAAAAAATGACATTATCATAAAAGAAGTATGTACTAGCTAACTGAAAGATTTTAAAAGAAGGGAAAAGAAAAAGAGATAGAGAGAAATTCTAAATATCTTCAGATGGATCCTGATCAAATTTTGAAAGAGGCCACTGAGGAATAGAATGACGAAAGTATTTTTCATTTTTGGAATTCAAAACTATGATAAATAGTGTGACAAAATTACTTTATTCTGTTTCCCAGTTGGAGTAAAAGGAAAAAAAAATGTATGTTTAAGTTTTATATAATATTATTAGGAGAAAATTAATAAGGAATAGAAGAAGAATAGGTAACTAACAAAGACTATGGAAACCACACATGGTAAAAAATACAACGCATTGTCATAGATGCTTGATACATAAAAAACTGTGAACTTATTCCATTTTATCTATATTACTTATTTCTTGTTATTTCGTTATTTATACTGCACAGTTGATAAGCTAAAACTTACATTAGCAGCATGAATAATGAAATTTTCTTAAAATTAAATGGAAAGAAAGTTATAACGCAATAATGAATTTAGCAAACCAAATAGATTTACTGATCTATCAAACGTTTTTGTTACACGTTTGATGATGCTCTTTAAATAGCCAGAGAAGATGACCCAATAGTGGCCGAATGATACGTAACATGTTACCAATCTGCAAAACTCTTGGTAATGTATCATCTACAGTATCATTATTTTTTTAATGTATTTACTATAATATGTATTTAATTGTATAACTGTCAGCACGCATTACAACTATGAACACATTGCACTTGACGATAACAGTACCTCCTTGAAAGCAACAGCAATCTTACAATGTTCAAGATAAGTGGTCGTCATTGCACTTTCTTTCCATGTCCTGTTCTTTCATTTAGTATTCCTTACTTAACATGGTCAATTCGCGGTGGACACAGCACTAAGTAATCTAAATGTAATCAATATTCCTGAGTACACAGTACTACGCTCCCCATTTTTGTTTATTCCATCGATGGGATCCAACAGGCTAAAGAGCACCTAACCCAATGGACCAGCTGTTCTGTTGATGGTGTAAAGTAAAACGTGGCTGAATGAATAAAACTAAATTAAACTGAATTTGATTTACCACTATCCTGCTAGAAGCGCAGTTTCCACTGCCCTGCTAGAGGCATGCCTGTTTACCTCTGTTAGACACCAGGCGTTCCAATCCTCCGTAACCTATCTACCTACCTAGAGGCACAGTGCCCATGTTCTCCGTCATTTGTCACTTGTATGGGTGAACTTGCTGGCAGACCACATGGATGCATGGGTCTTTTTCGCGGTTTTTTTCATGTGTAACATCAGTACAAGAAAATTTCTTTTAGAAAGCCGTCCATGAAGACGTCACGTATTTTAGGCAGATCATCCTGGAGTGTTTGTCATAATTGATTAAGCAAAGCAGCAATTCAGATGAAGGCAGAATTTTATTGCTAGTCCAATGGATAACCCATTAATGCAAATAATTTATTATATTTTGAGAAGAAGAATATAGAAAAATATAGACGAGTAGTGATGTAATGTAATGTAATGTAATATACGAGTGTGCTTGAACCCTTCTGGCCGATAATAATTGGTCACATGGTTAACGCAGCACACCAACACAATAGACGAGTAGTATACAAGTAACTCACTGGATATCACATATATATAGTATATGTTACTTTAATCTTTTTAAATAAATGAACGAGTGTCGTACATTCGATTATAAAAATACAAGATAAATTGCTATCGAGAATTCATAACGTCAAATTTCAAATAGGCGCAAAAAATAGTAAAATTTTGTCAGATGAAAGGTTGATAATTTAGAGCATTTGTATTCAAACTGTT